TCGATGAACAAGGAGGTTCAGATGCAGACGTAAAGTCAAGGATTGGCAAAGCAAGAGTCGCATTCCTACAATTGAAGAACATATGGAGCTCAAAACAACTTTCAACCAATATCAAGGTGAGAATCTTCAGTACGAACGTCAAGGCAGTTCTACTGTATGGAGCTGAAACTTGGAGAACTACAACAACCACCATCAAAAAGGTACAAGTATTTATAAATAGCTGTCTATGCAAGATACTCAACATCCATTGGCCGGATACCATCAGCAATAGCCTTCTCTGGGAGAAGACAAACCAGCTTCCAGATGAAGAAATCAGGAAAAGACGATGGAAATGGATAGGATATACATTACGTAAATCGTCAAACTGCATCACGAGACAAGCCCTAACTTTGAATCCTGAATGGAAGCGAAAAAGAGGAAGGCCAAAGAACACATTACGTCGAGAAATAGAAGCAGATATGAAAAGGATGAATAACAACTGGAAGGAGCTGGGAAGGATTGCCCAGGACAAGGCTGGACAGAGAATGCTGGTGAGAGGTCTATGCCCCTTCACGAGGAGTAACAGGCGCAAGTAAGTAAAAAATCCAAATGTTCATTTTTGTACAGAAAAACACGGGTATTTATAGATGTTAACACTGGCTAAATCAACATCATATTTTGTTGGGATATTCAGGAAAATATCCCAAAAATTATCCTGTTAAGACTAATGCTATCCTTGGACATGAAATGGTATCATCTTATTGGTCAATATTTATTTAATGTGTTATTTTCCTGTTGGCCAATATTGTACAATGTTATTTTCTATTTTATGTTACGTTGTGGTCTGTTTGACTGGTATATAAACAAAGTATGTTTGAAATATAATGATTCATATCTCCGAGGCTGTGACTTGTGTTCTGGACTCAACTGGCTGGGTTAGACAGGGAAGCGGGGCCAATCAGAACCCTAGGCCGTTCTACGTGTTTGTGCGTCTTTGGTCCGATCAATAACTCGCTACCCTTAATCCGCAGCATTATTTTCACGTTATAGCATATTTTGACCAATCCGCTAAAAGACATATCATGCTACTGACAAATAGTAGCACGCCACGTTGATATTCTAGAAAACTCCATCATGCTCTGATTGGCTAGGACTCTTCGGCTCCTTTAGGGCCTCTGGAGGCTCCATTGCAGTTCTCGGAAAGCCGACTCAGCAATTACATCTAGTTCAATATTGGAAAAATTATGTACGTACCGTTTCGGGTCGAAAGGAAACTCCTTTTCTGGCTTTTGGTTTTCCAAAGTTTTTATTAGTTTCGTCAACGTTTTCTCAGATCTATTTTGGAAATTCTTTCCACATAATCCATAATCATTGACTGAAGCTCTGAAAGCAGGTTTTTAACGGAATATTGTCGCAGACATTTATTTTTAAAGTATCAATTTGATTCGATGCATGTCTTTCAAGTGTTTTTGCATTAGGATAGATTCTGTTAAGACGTAAAGACTTCCAATATATTTTAGGATATCTATTAGATTGTATACAATTAATAGCAAATTCTAAGCTCATTTTCGCTTCTTTGAGACGTGAAGTAAACTTCAGAAACTCACTGAGTGTCTTAAATGCAACAGAGTCCTCACGCCATTTTAGAATATTAAAGATTCCCATTGTGAAAATTAGAATAACTTACCAAAGTTATATCACTTGGTGGCAGAATACCTTTCGCAATATACACAGGCCATAAATTAAGCATTGCATCAGTTAGCCGTGAAACAGTATGAATAGTTGGTTTCCAACGCTTATCATAATTGTTTAAATTCGCATTATTACCATAACTTGATTGATTCCAAATTATATAGGATAGATTCCAAGTTGTGCGCAAGAATGCACCGATAAGTAATAACCATATAACACATGAGAATAAACTGTAAACTCGCAAATGACGCGACAAGAATGCGTTAATTTCTCTCACTTGACTTTGTATAAACTAAATACAAAATAGATGAGTTGTAAGAAGAATATTTTAGTTAGTAGTTATAACATATACTTATTTAAAACAATAGCTTAACTGGAAAGAACTTTGGAATAAATATCACGAGGTATAAAGACTAATATCACCAGGTCAATGCGTCAACCGATATACATACAACGATAACTTACGTAAAAATGAAGTAGCATTATGCCTTTTACTTATTTTTGAAATTTCTTTTGAGTTCCCTTGAATTAAAATGCAAATAACTGAATAAGTAGTGATATAACGTTAGTCCAATATTCAGTGCATCAAGTAAGCACGCATATTTGTAGTTAAAGAATAACTCTAACAAGAGTTCAATAGTAACAAATGCTAAGAATAACTATTTTATTTTAAATTTGGATTACGAGCATTTTAAGGATTTTTATTTGATTAAAATAACTGCCTAGTTTGTTTCTTAAACAATTTGTCTTTTTTAAAGTAAGAAAAAATTCATGTGGTAACACATATACTGTATTATGACAGTAACTATGGCCTAACAATCTCATCTAAGGACGTTTGAGGAAATAATCAAAAGTCTACATTAAAAGATCAATAGCAATAGGCATGGGTCAATATGATTTTTAAGGGATTTACGAGTTAATAGATTTAGTAATTACTATAAAGCGTAATAATAATATAACTATTAAGAAAAGTCGTGCGAAATTTTATTGTAGAGTTTAAAACATGATATCAGTCAGAGACACACTGAAAACTAAAGAGCAATGGATAAATATTTCATTGTAATTTGTAACTCATCGTCAGTGAACGATTTTAACATCGGGCCTCACTTCAAGCACGATAGTTTTACATCACTGAGATTTTCAGTTTCAATCAGCTTTTGAGACTGCGTGATAATTGTTGATTTCTGATAGTAAATTACCATTTTACTCTCGCGAACTCTACGATTAACCAAATTAGTATGATTAAACAATAGAGAAAGCAAAATAAATATTTACAAAAAGTGAACCAGTTTCTAAATGAACATTTTAACACACTCATACATTGCATAACGTTATAATATTAAGTACTAATAAAAATGGAGACTAAGAAGCAGCATTTTGTCAAAAGATATGCTGTTAGTTGAGTGTATTTGTACCCCGGTAGGTGGTGAATTTCTTATTGATATAAAGACCAAAATCTTGGTCTATTTCAATCAGTTAGCTTAATAATAAAACTTAAAGAGATGTACAACAACAAATAATATAGTTTAATAAGTAGAATAATGGTTAATACAAATCATCTTAGCCTACTAACAAAGTTGTATATATATATTTTTTAACGATTTTTTAACATGTATCTTAAAATACGAACAATTTAACTGATGTACTAACCTTCATGAAGTAGTTAGATCTGTATATCAAAATTCGATGAATATACACCATCCAATTTATTATTAGTATGGAAAACAATACAGTATCCTAATTCATAACAAGAGATATAATCTAAAAAGGTAATTACGGAAAAGAAGCTACGGAAAATGAATGTTAAAGAAAAATCACAGCAAATAAACCAAAAGTCATCATCTAGTAATGATCGATACCTAATCAAAAGCGAAACACTTAAATAAGTTCGTACAAAACGATAGACATGTAAAAATTTGTTCGAAAAAGAAAGAAGTGTGGAGTAATGACTCGCTGGTTAAGCTGTTCGACTTTCAGTTAGTAATTTGCATGTTCAGATACCACTCCACCTACCTCGGTTTAGATAACCGGATATTATCGCTAGCCCCACACTTAAAGTGTGGCTCGAAGATAAATGTATGAAGTCACATCAGGTTGGTGATTTCGTAATATTAATAATTAGATTGTTATAACTGTGAATTTAATCAATAAATATTATGCACGACAAACAAGAGTTAATGAGAACATATAAAGAAGTTGATGTTAAATAAGCAATTGTTCAGATATATTTAGTTCAGATACACTGAAGTAGGATACCGCATACGCATGTTAGATCAATGAAATTGTCTGACTAATGATAGTTTCTTAAATATCTGTTAAATACGCCAAACGCTAAATGAAATACGTTAAATTATGAATGAAGTCACTTGGGTTTTCTTTTGTTAGTCTGTTAACTTTTTAAAATAACAGAAGTAACAAGTTGTCAGAGAATTATATCTGGATCTAAACTCCCTTAAATTTTCTCTTCAAACTAATAGATTCAACTTATATAAGAAAACAGACACAAAAGACACCCAACTAACTTGATACTATCTCAAACTGTAAACTATAAACCGCATGATAGTCAAATATTTTATCTATCTGACATTGCAAACAAGCAGATTAATTAAGACTAATCACCTAGCAAATAATTTGTCACTGACATAGCAACTTTGTCAGTACGACTGGTTGCATAATCAGATTATCGACAGTTATAAACCTTTGGTAATTAATCGTAAATAAATAAAAAAAATTCAGAGCATGAGCATAAACAGACGATAAAATTGAGAAAATAATCTTGTCAATAAATTTTATTACATATATTTTCAAAATATATAACACCGTTCAAAATCCTAAACATGAAATGCATGGAATCAAACTACATTATATAAACAAAAGCGGAAAAAAACTAAATGAAAGAATATTTTGGTATTAGTAATAATCCTGACGTCCTGTATACCGGATAGTAATACTTTCAATGCTGAAACAACTAACAGTGATAAGTTGATAAATGCAAGTACCAGTCGACTGTTTCAAAAATGACAATTTACACTAGAAGAAAGTAATATATGAAAATGAATAAACAACTCTATAGAAGAATTAAATGTCAATGGCATTAATCATAATGATGATATGTTGATGATAGAATTATTTCTGCCACTGTGCTCCTCATGAGAAAAAATTACCAAAAAAATAATGATACAAGTCATCACAGAAAATCTACATAATACATAAATAGAAATATAGAAAAGTGATTATGACATTTTTAGTCTTAGTAAAATGATATGTTGCATTTATTTTGTCGTGTAGAATTCACCGTACAAATAAAACACATGTATTGTATCTTCCATTCAATAATTAATATCATCTTCATAAGTGCTTGATTCACACAACATTTGACGTAATTGTAAACCCTGAAAAAAATGAGGGGAAATTTTAATATATACTCATTTATTTATACATAGTATTGATTAAATCAGTTAGGTATATCTGTAAAAGTAATGTTCATTCATTCGATGAAAATAAAAGTATGAGATAGTTTTTCACATATTATTTTAGACAGTTTAGTCGTCGTTTAAAGTTGAGGGATGTTTAATTATTGAGGATGTTTAAATTCTGACAAATGACTTCTAGAAATTACTATTTTGTTACAACGTTTCTATGAATGTAATATTTGCGCTTCTGTTCACTAAAATTTCTTATGACAACCGTTTTGCCAGAAAGAACCCACTGCTAACTAATAACTATCTTCCGTACTGTCATAAGAGACTATAAATTTATTCATGCACAGCACCTGATGGCTTGATCTAATCAACCTTAAACTATACAGGGAATTTTCTGAATGAAGCGCCATCTTTGGATTAGTCGGGCACCAGAAGAGGATAAGAAATTAGGCGTCTCCGTTAAAAACAATCAAACCTAAGTGTATTTCACTATACAATCGATTTGTGTTATTAAATTACGCAAAAAAAACTGATTATTGTAACGTGATGTAATATCTAAACCTACGATACTCAGTTCAATATCTGAACTTTTAACATGATATAACATATCACAAACATAATCAATAACGGGAAAGTGAAATCCTCTTTTTTATGCAGAACAACCAAGGTTGAATTTGATAATTTCAAATAAATTGAACACAAGATATGTTTTCAGTAGTAACAAAATAACAATATATTTATAAGGTTAATTCAAGTTCCTACTCATTAAGATATTGTAAATGTTTTTTATAAGTATTATACATCATCAGTTCATTCAAATTTCCGAGATAACGTATGCAACTAATTAGACAATTTGTACCTAATGTCTATTATATATATATGGCATCTTTTGCACTGTAGCTACCGAATATCAACATTCAGTAGCCTTGTGAATAGAATGCTAGTTTGTGAAGTGAAGAGAACTGGGATGTAGATATGATTTGTAAACAGGAGGAAATGAATCTCAGATCCCACTGCTAATTACTGTCTAAAAATAGGACCTGTAACTAAGCACAATATTGAAACATTTCGACAATGAACTCATACTACAACAAAAACTGACCAAATTCAATTTTGAATATAAATAACAGGAAAATACAAACCAATACAAACAATAAAGAAAATTCTCATGATTTAAATAAAGATATATAAAATAAAACATTTCAATGGGATGAATACCCTACCTTACGAATTTCTGATAACTGTTGTAAAATAGTATCTTGTCGGGTAATTGAACGCTCATGTTTTGTATTCGAATTTCGAAGCGAATCCTGAAGTGAGATAGATAATAATCCAAATTAATAATTCACATTGAATATATTTTACAGGGACTTATTTTGATTAGTTATTCTTCGATTATAAACAAACTCTCACATCACAGGGAAATTGTAAGATGCTTATGTTTATTAAACTTAATACTGTGTGATGTAATACTATTGACCAATCATCTACCAGGTCCAAATGGTCTAGTTGCATCTAACCTGTTCATTGCATTCCGTGCTTCCTCTCAGATATCTAGGTCCTCCTAATCCAGTCAACCACCAAAAGAAAGAGAAATGGGGAGAGTAGGCAGCTTTGTCTGACTCCGGTCTACACTTGGAATGTGTCTGTCAGCTGTTTTCCATGCACAACTTTGCACTGTAGTCCGTCGTATGAATTCCGGATAATGTTGACGATTTTTACAGTTACTCACTGCATATTGTCGAAGAAGTTCCCATAATGTTCTCCTATCTACACTATTAAATACTTTCCCATAGGAAGTTGATGTATAGTGACGAGTTCCATTCAACTGATTGTTCAACGATGATCCGTAGTGTCACAATTTGGTCTGTGCACGACAGATCCTTACGGAATCCGATATGTTGATCTCGAAACTGGTCGTTTACTGAATCTTTCATCCGGTTCAGCAAAACTCTGTTGAAAAATTTTCCTAGCATATATAGTAGTGTGATGCGTCTGTGGTTCTCATACCTGCTCAGATTTACTTTCTTTGGTGTCTTGATGAGATATCCTTCTTTCCAGTCTGTCGGCACTTGTTCTTCCCCCCCCCCCAAATCTTCCTGAATAGAACGTGGAGAATGTTTGCAGCTGCTTCTATGTCGGAGTTTAGTGCTTCAGATGGTATACTGTCATGCCCTACTGCTTTCCCACTCTTGATTTACCTGATAGCCATTCTGATTTCTTTGATCGTTGTTGGAGTGATATCTATAGGAGAGCATGTATGTGCTGCTACGATGTCCGGTGGATTTGCTAGAATATGAAAACCATACACTAAATACATTATAGCACATCTTCCTTCAGTTGCCCTTTACATACTAAATGATTCTTACAATTCTATTGTTAGTATAATTGCTCTTTGTTTCGCCTTCTGTTCTCTCCAATTCAATCTTTTCAGTCTTTTACTGGCAGGTATTCCACTTCCGATTGCTGCTACACACTACTTATATATGTAAGCATAAGTAGTATACGTTACACTCGTCCCCTATTTAAACGGTCACTCCTGTAATTATTCTTTCTTTCTGTGTTAGTCTGTGCTACGCTACTCCGTTGAAATGTTGAGTCCACCGATGAGCAGAACCAGCAGCTCTGTCGACCTGCCGTCCATCTAAATCCGATGTCTACGCAGCACCCTGGACGTCAAAAACCTGCTCTCCAGAGACCCACTGAGCCATTTACATCCGATTTGCGCCCAGCATCTGGAGCATCCCATATCATCTCCCTGTCGACGATGACTGCTACGCTCAACGCCGTCTCGCCAGACATATATGTATAATGAGTAGTCAGAACAGTCTTCTGACTACTTTCGACATCGAATTTGTTTATTTATATTAAGCTGATAATATGGAACTTGAAATCTATCAGGGCAATTATCACAAAGAAGTATTTCGTTATTTTTGAACTGATCATACACCGGTTTATCATCTAGGAACAATTCACTTTAAGTAGACTTAAACTAAGACGCGATTAAGTTCTAACAGGACAGATAAGAAATATAAGATTTATTTAGACAAACATATTTTAAACTACCGATAATTATGTCATAAGCCTAACTTCACTATCAAAACAATTTTTGGTGGCATTTAAATTAAATTTTTTTCGCTCGTTAAATTTAGTAATAACCAGGAATGGGAAGTTGAATGAGTAAAAAAATTATGTTTGCTGGTTTATGAAAAAGGATTCTTAAAGTAAATGGAGCAGACTTTATTATACATGAGTAATAACTATCTAGTATAATGTCTGTGTTAGGGTATTTTTATGTGTTATCGATATGATGGGTAAGAAATATACTTAACAGTCAGATATTAAAGAAAGTTTATGTAATGAAAATAGTTATTAATCACGTGGACGTGTCAGATGCTAAGAAAGCCCAACTAACACTCCTTATGTCTATTAGTCTAAGAGTTTACTGAGAAGCTCAAGTAGATAGGTATAGATATACATATATTGTTGAGTTGAGAGGTTAAAAAGATTGGTTAGAGAGCACAGTATTTGCTTATGATGTATATCCTATATTTAAATGAAACAGATAAAAATAAACAAATTTAAGATACCGAGTAAGTTACATGAATATGCTGTATGCAAATAACTTGAATATAACACGTCCCCAATCTTCCTTAGGAAAAGATTAATTAATATGTTATGTCATATTGTGTAAATTTAAACTACAGAATAAATATATTAAATTTTTTAATAGTATGAGTAATAACACTTAAACTTGTAACACTAAAATTATCATGATTGTAATATGAATTCAACATGAAAAAAGGAGTTCAATTGACGAAATAAGTACATAACATAATTTCACATTAATCACACTAGTTTGTTAGACTGAGGCAAAACCTCACAGAAATGGTCGGCCTAAAACTATATATAGTCAGACATATATATATATATATATATATATATAATTAAGAGCGACTTTACTTTGCCTTCTGATTTTCTAGTATTCTCAACAACACCAGGTTCATGACTGACAGGCAATATTATATTTGCATCATTCGGAATCAATACATCATAAGTACGAATAAGATCCGCAGGCCCATAAGGATTTTCATGATTAAGAAATGTAGTATTATTTGGAGACTCAGTGTTGATAGTTGAAACTTGATGTTTTGGCATTGAAGTTGACGATATACTGTAGGCTGTAGATACTTGAAACGATTTACAAATTTATTTTATTGAAAAAGAAATACAAGACACTACATTTTAAAAAAGAGTAATTAGTACATAAAAGCTGACTTTATTTAAAAAAAGTGACAGCTGTCAACATTCAGTCTTGGGAGTATTGTCCAATCTCTCTATGGAGCCTATGTATGATGATATGGTAGATCAAGTCTGCGCATTCCATTACAGAATAAAATGTAATGGTTAATACCTGCAGTGGGATATGTGAATTTTCATGGTGAATCATATGCATTTCGAGAATCAGTTTCTACAGACGAACATGGAGAAACCTTGGGGAACAAACTGAATAAACCTTCGTATTGAACTGTCTTATGATTCATAGTTGACATAGCATCGAACTCTATAAACAGATTAAGTGTGAATCTATTGATGAGTTAAGAACGTAGCAGAGAGAATGAGGATATAATATTTTTAGTTTATTTTGGAGAACATTGACGATGCCATTTTGAGAAACAAAAAAAGTTGTACACAATAAATATAAATACAATTTAGCGCACTTAAGAATTTTTAGCATCTTGTTTAACCTCAAATTTGGACCCAGAAGTATACATTATATGTTAATTAATTTTAAACAAAACTAGGAAAACTGTAATTCCCGTAACCAAATGAGCACAGTCCTAATGGCAGTGCTTTAATTGGCTAAACAAGATATAAGAAAGCTAAAGCTCTCATTCAAGTGAACTGAAATCTGGAACACACGAAGTTGTTGATAAAAAAAGATAAAAAATCAATTTAACAGTATATTAGGCATGCAAATAATTTTATTTAAATTCTATTGACGAGTGGATTACTCGGAGGGTTTACTAAAATAGAATAAACAATGTGTGAAATGTTAGCTCCACTTAGTTGGATAATAAGTAGTGGGAACTAGAGAAATAAATATTGCCATCATTTATCAATCATAAACCACGTTGGCCATGGTACTGGTCCAAGCTATCACATTGTTGGAACGAAAATGTAATAAATATAACTCAACTTGATAAACAAGTACACATTTATGTACTCGACTTTGATCTGTCCCTTTTTGAAAACTGAAGATTTTATCCGTTCACCAGAACCAGTAGATAGAACGAAACCCAAGATTATGATTTATTGGTTGAAAGTTAAACACTCTAGCTGCTAAGTTACTACTCTATATTATGTAAAGAGTAGATATTAAATATAAATTGTTATTAATTCTTAACAAAAAAGAAAAGTATTTATGTAGCTCACTCGGTATGGGAATACGTGATTTCATACTACTTCCATCTTGGACCGATCTACTGTTAACGAAAAATATATGAATAATGAACACTTTATGTTGATTTATTATTGATTATAATAAAGAAAAATACCATAGCCATCCAAGCCATCACATTAACAACAGAACAGAAATCGATCAGATAAGAAGGATATGGAAAAATGAACAAGTCTTCTTTATGAGTAAAGGGGACAGGTCAATTTCCATAGAAACCAGATTGAGGTATACGCCAATTATTTTGTTGCATCTTTTCGAGGAATTTCTTTAAAATACTAGTCGATATCTGATAGTTTCGAGGGCAGTTTTATGATGTAATTATGGAGATTTATGAATGTAATACCAGAAGCTTTATCTAGACGACTCAGGATTGAGCCTTATTTCTTACGAGATCAAGAAGTTGTGAAATAGTTTAGTTACTAACTTTGTATTGATATTGACAGTAGCATGTTACAATAGTTATTTTGAGTTGTTAAAATTCTTTATTTTCTGATACTCGAAATCTCAGGACACGTTATGATGTAATTTCTTTTTAGAATTTCATAGGTTCATACATTTACTAAATCACTACAAATACAATTGTGAAGCTTAAGTAAACGATTTAGTCGCAAAGAAAATTTTCTTCGCTGAATTGCCTTTTTTTCTTTAATGACACAATGATTTACTCTCGTTACTTAGAGTATAATCTTTTGAATACTTTTTACATTAGTAGAATAAAAAAGGAGTCAATCAGTTGTTTGATGTTCGAGGACAAAGTTTTTTTTCTTTTACAGAACCCCAGTTTTATTTAAACAAATATGAATCTTGAGATGGTGGAGAGGATTTGTAGCCCAGGTGGATGATTTTGGTGGAGTTTTGTTCTCTGAGCTGGATGGTTTGGTCGTGGAGCTTTCATCGTTCTTCTGAACGACATCATCATGATGGTAACTACTCAATTACTGAAAAGAAGCTTATGTACTGACTTAACTTTACATTTGTTTGAAAACCAACGATACTAAGCGTCTGCCCAAACTAAAGTAGGTGGAACGGTATTTAAATCTGAGATTATAACACCTACATCGCTTTTTTAGGATGTCCAGAAATCGTTAAAAACGACCGACAATAATGTAATAATTCAAAGGCTGGTCACATATGTTGAGGTGAAGATATTCTATGAACGATTGATAATAACATAACATAATAACTTTCTTTTAATATTAGATTTTCATTAAAAAAATTATGACAGGATATCAATTCAAATTATCAAAATTACACATCCTTCTATTTTACTATAGACTACTATTTTTAGTGGGTAAATTAGCTGTATATACGACTGTGAAGCTTTAATAAATGAATAAATAATAATAAATAATAAATGAAAATAATGTCTACGCTGAAATGCCTTTATTCTTCTTCAATAATACAATGGATGGTTTCTTGGTATTACACGTTATTATTACCAAGTGTATATCTATGATTTATCGATTCTCATCAGGGACGAGTTATTCTGTATAAGGCTTACCAGAGATAAAATTAAAACATTCTTAAGTCATTAGTACGTAATAATATGAACAGTAATAACAAAAACAAAAAACTATACCTTTCGAACTTATTCGTACCGGTAAATGAATTAATTGTTTGTGCGCTATTACTGCTTGATAATTTTGATTGTTCATTGGCTGATTTAGAAAAGTCATTATCATTATTATTATTATTATTATTATTATTATTATTATTATTATTATTATTATTATTATTATTATTATATGAATCAGAATTAAGTGATTGAGATTTTGAAGTTCGTTTACCTTTTAGTAGTTGTGATACTTTTGTTTTATTATTAACTAAATTATTATCATTTGTAGGTTTATAATTTGAGGTTAATCGATTTGGTCGATCTGCATTTTATCATTGAGAGAAAAAGGAATACAACATTATAATATAATTATTTAAACACACTCATTGTTAAAAAAATAAAATGATGAAATAATTACTAAACATTACAAAGAATGAATAAAATATTACTAGGATTATGTGTATTGATACATAAGATTTCATTCGAAAGACCAGTCTTCCTCTTGTTACCAAGTGGATTCATCAGAAACAGTTGTAGTGTAATTACTGGTCATGTTTTATTAATTTGCCATTACCTCGGATAATTTATGAACTTGATGATATAATGGGGCGAATAGTGCTGAAGTATACCTTTCCAGACTTTGATACGAAGGGTTATTATTTATATTTTTATCATATAATTAGTGGACCCTTCGATTGTTGTATTTTTACACCCTCCAATTTTTAACCTTTTGTTTGGTCCATTATTCCTTATCATGCATCTTACCATTTCGGATTTACCATCAGTTGCCTTTTCCCCCTACTACTCGAATTTTGTATAACCTATGTCTAGGTTATGTATGCATAGTAATTTTTTTATAGTCTTGTCTTGTGGTTAGACATTTCAGGTATATTAGTGTATGAGTTCTGAGTTATATTTGCGTTGAGTACAATAAAGAACTGATCTGAATTCTATCTTCATCTTTCGATTAGTCAATGGGGTTAGAAGGAGCTCAAGGGTCGATAAGCATTGAAGTCTTGGTAGTTATTCATTGATCGGTGTGTCACTCTGGCACTAAAGTTACCGGTCCATAAGCCAATACAAGTGAAGTAATCGAAAACCGGATTGGACCGAGATCATACAACTGCGTTCCTATCATTACTGCCTACATGGGTCCCAACACAACCTAAAGCATCTATTTTCTCGACATAACAGTTGGAATTCTGATCTTAATTTATTACCAATTAGTCACTTTGATGTGGTGACGGTTTGTAGCTTGAGAAAATAATTTTAGTGAGACAGCATTAATTAAGCTGGCCGATTTAGTCGTGAAGCTTTTAACTGTCTTTCTACACAACATCGTCAGCATAAACTACTAAAATTTCTAATGTATTTGGAAAAATTGCAGAAAATAAATTTAACTCGAAAGAGTGAATTCACACAATTTGTATTAGGTGTTAGTTGTGAAAGTAAGGCGTGACCGTCTATAGTGATCGTAAAGTGTAAAAAAGAAAAAAATATCATACGCTAGTAACTCATCCACTTAGAAACCATAGACTTTATTGTGTATGGTATCCAAAGTAATACAAAATTAGAACGTTATATCAGTACTTGATCCGATTATTTGTAATTAGAATTAGTTAAGAATTTGAAATTCACTCACACTGTTGTTTTTGTTGATTTGACACAGATACAGACATTTTACTCAGATTATTCTTTACTGATTTGTTGTCACTGGGTTTTAGTTTGTGAGCAAAAGTGCCATTATTTCGATTTTTCGAATCTGGATTATTCAAAACTTGTTTGTCTTTCGAATTAGTCCATTCGAAGTTTTCTAAAATAGATTCGAAATGAGAACATTTCATTTTGCATATTGTCGACAACATAACTTGAAAACATTCTCAATGATATAAGTATACATAAAAGTAAGGTTTTCCTGATAAGGATAGTGTTTACTGTTTCTTAAGCATGATAAATAAACGTCATGCTTTTTTGATCAGTATGTGATAGTAAGTTAAAGTATCTGCATTACTTTGCCACACATTACTAATACCTAAAACATCTCCCAACTACCCACTATCAGGAGACAAGTGTATTGAATAAGCCAAAGAAACAGGTATAGACAGTGTCAACTTGGTTCACGCTACCTAGCAAGTGAATTCATAGACAAGTACGGAAGATGTGAACACAACTATGCATATTGGGATTTACATAGCTGTTGAGTTGATCATTAAAATGAATAAAGTTTAAATTAGAAACGGAAGAATAATCAAGTCCTATTTTCTAAGTGGTTTGTTTAACTGACAAATAATAATTAATCGTTAGATGATGAGAAAAACCAATCATCCCAACAGAAGTAAGCAAATATTTTAACATTAGTTTGGACTTTTTCTGAAAATCAAAACTACGTATGAAATATAACAATACAAAAGGATACCATTTTAAGAACAAAAACCAGAAGCCCCGACATATATTTTTTTTCCTTGTTATGAGTCGCTAGTATCTTTTTAAAATGAACAGATGACTAAAAAGGAATGACAACAAACATGTAGGACTTTTAGAATACTTCAACATAAAATATGCAGTCAGGCTTATATCTCTGAATCAGTGTGAAAACTTCGAAAAAAAATCGAACACTTGATTTGAGTATCAAAGAACAAACACTACACAGCAGAAGTTGATCATATCCTATTGAACTTTATATGACACTATGCTACTTTAAAATTTGGCCAAAATTTACTTCAGAAATTTAGTTAGATAATATGATCTCTAAAGCCCTCAACATCTACTTAGGTCCAGATAGTATGATTTCAGTACGAAATTTGCAAACAAAAGAGAGTGTGGATTAAGTTAAGCATTAAAAAGTGCTGTTAAATGCTTATATCAAGAGACTTAAAACATTACTGATACATAATGGCTAATTATGTTCATAACTTACAAGTCTACTATGCGGAATCGCTTAAACTGCAATTAATAAACTAGACTACCTGGGTGGAAATTACTGACTTTTGCGCGAAAAATAAAACGATAAAACTTAACTTTATTGCAGAAAGAATCTGTTTACCTGTTTGAATGCCGATATTTTCGGGAAACGAAGTTTGAACAGCCAATGAATTCTTAGGATATGCAACAGACTACAAATGAATATAATAGATTTCAACAGATACTGAGTAAGAAAATGTACAATCAAATGTAAATAATAATACTGGAAAATATCTTTAAATTACATAAGGATCTGTTAACAACTACTGTAATTTAAACATCGTATCCAACATATGACCAATATAACTAAGTAAATGGATTAGCGATAGAACTAACCACTACGAATTTGTATCAATTTGTCACACCTCTGGATATTTACTGTGAGTAATAAATAACAAAGAAAACAAGATTTTTTAAAAATGGACTAAATATAATAGTAAAATGGAGCACGATTTGACTGTCAAACAATACACTTAAGCTCGATAAGGAACACAAGTATAACTGATGGTATTAGAAGCTCATAAACAGTAATTTAGCTATACAAATAATCATGTCAGTAAGTTTTGATCTACGTATAAAATCTAAGTCAATAGTTAGTCAACCTTTATTTAAAAGATTTTGCTTTAATCTTCATAGACTGACTAAATATAGGATGTTAGATTGGTATTAGTTAAAGACCAGAAAAAGTGAAGAGATAAACATACTCAGTGGCATCAGTTCATATTATCAGATTAAATGTTGAGGTGGAAATGATCATAGGACAGTGAACTTTATTGGCATGACAATTGCATGTAGGAAATGAAATTTAGCTTCGTAGTTATGAATATTATTCAAATCAACTAGTAAAAGGTAATGATATTAGTAATAAACGATATTCAATACTGTTTCTTTTGATGAAGCACAAAAAAATACAAATATCACTTCCATAAACACATACTCATAAAAATCCTATTTATCAAAATATAGATAATAATCATCACAACATATTGACTTACATCTGGCGCATTACAACCGGATGAAGATAGGAAAGCATACAAAGGATTATTTTGACTCTGTTTTTCAACCTCAGATGCAATAGACAAATATGGGACAAGTAATTCAGACTGTATGACGGCTTTTTGACTTAATGAATCCGTGTTTCGTTTTAATTCTGAGTAACATGGATGTTTTTGAATTTTAGTCAGCTTCGCTTCTTCTTGAGCGCGAACAAGTGATTCATATAAATGTTGTGTACGTTGAAATTCTTCCATCTGAAGAGAAACAAAAGTATGTGGTAGAATTAACAATATTTAGAATCAGTAGTCAGTTAGACTAGTCCTATTGTTTCGTGCATGTTTAAACGGTTGACGGTAAATTTGAAAACAGACAACGAACAAACTAGACACATTTAATTTTAGTGTTGATTATTCTACAGATAAGTTTAATTGTTTGAAATAATTCCAAATACTACTTACGTTAAATTATCTTTGGGTAGTAACGTGATGATGTCCCGGTTGATTAGTAAATAAGCAAAGATAGATATTCAATTACGCTAAATGTGTGAGATGATACAATCTTGTCAACTTCCTATTGTTGATTTCACTAGTGATACACTCAAAAATTTTATTTCGACTGAACTGTAGTCGACTCCTTGTACTTTAAGTAAATACATTATCTCTCTAAACTGCCCCTAAATCTTTAGTCAGATATCGTGTATGTGAGTACAATGTAACCTCGTATCAGTCAGTCAGTCAGCAACAACGTAGAACTTAGTACGTACGTACATCAGTTCGAGTTGCCATACCACATTACCACAGAGATGCAGTGGTCGATTCAAATCCCGTAGTGGTAGAGGTAGTAAGAGTATAAGCAGTAATCGGAAACCCTAGGGTTTGAAGATGTTATTTAGAGAGTATAAAACAGTGAAATAAAGGACATGAAGAATTCAGAAGATTAGAATTTGGAGAACACAAAGAGTGGATGCACCCGCATCATTGCAAACGATTTTGAGCCATGTCATTCAGGGTCTCTAACCATCGGTTGCTGTCATCTCGCGGATTCCAACCAGGTAGTCCACACCTAACAACATGACTCAGTCTACTTGTCAGTGACTTCATGGATTTGTGCCATGTTTTGGTCTGGCCGCCCCTAGCTTTCTTCAAACCTACTCCTACATCATAAAACATCGCACGTCGAGGCAGTCGGTCGTTGGGCATACGTAACACGTGTCCACGCCATCTCAACTGATCAAGTTTCACTACTTCATCAATCGATTTGCCATCCTTACCTAGTACCCGTTTCCTAACAACTGCACTCCTCACTCAATCGTCCCACGATATACGAGCAGTGTTTCGAAGACACCTATGATCGAATACTAGTAACCTACGAATATCCTCTACTCTAACCGGCCACGTTTCACTGCCATAAAGTAGGACGGAACGAACTGCTGCGCAGTAAACACATCCTTTGGTCGATAGACGAATACCTCGCCTACGCCATAAATGACGCAAGTTGGCAAAAGCTAGTCGAGCCTTCTGTATCCGTGCTGAGATTTCGTCACACACCAGACCACAAGGGATGATCAGACTTCCAAGATAAGTGAAGCGGTCGACACGCTCAATTACTTCACTCCCTATCATTAGTTCGGGTGTCGATGCAACCCAATCTTGAAGCAACATTTTGCATTTCGAGGGGGAGAATCGCATGCCGAACATACTTGCATTGTTGCTTAGAGTGGTCAGAAGACTCTGCATTTTGTCAGCGTCTTCACCAAATAGAACTATGTCATCGGCATATTCTGAGTCAACAAGTGGAGACCGGGAAGACCAGTCAAATAGCAACGGAAATGAGGAGATATAACATGGCAGTACTGGGAATCAGCGAAACCCATTGGACCCAAGCTTGACAACAAAGGCTAAATACGGGAGAGATGAAGCTATACTCCGGTCACGAAGAGGAAAATGCTCCACACACTCAGAGAGTTGCTCTAATGCTGTCCAAAGTAGCACGAAATGCACTTGTAGGATGGGAATCTCACGGATCCAGAATCATCAAAGCATCATTCAAAACAAAGAAGGAGGGGATCACAATGAATATTATCCAATGTTATGCACCCACCAATGATAGCAACGACGACATTAAAGATCAGTTCTACGAGCGGCTGCAGTCAATCATTGAGAAATGCCCAAGAAAGGACCTCACCATTCTGATGGGAGATCTAAATGCCAAAGTTGGAATAGACAACACTGGATATGAAGATATTATGGGACGACATGGACTGGGAGAAAGAAACGAAAATGGAGAAAGATTTGCAAATCTATGTGCATTCAACAAATTGATCATAGGCGGCACAATATTTCCACACAAACTTATACACAGAGCTACATAGATCTCACTGGACCACACCACAGAGAACCAGATAGATCATATTTGCATCAATAAAAAATTCCGAAGGACAATGGAAGATGTGAGAACCAGGAGGGAAGTTGATATAGCTTCAGATCACCACCTAGTTGTGGCCAATTTAAAAATGAAGCTAAAGAAGAACCGGACAATCAGCACTACAAAGGTTCAATACTGCCTTCCTTCGAGATACTAACAAACTCAATGAATTAAAGATAGCTCTCAACAACATGTTCCAAGCCTTACAAGATCTACTGCAGGGAGAAGAAACTACTATGGAAGACAACTGGAAAGGTATCAAAAAAGCTTTTTTTACTGAGATCATGAACCGATTGATGTTAGACCACCACCTTTGGAAACCTGGAAGCACTGGACGGCCGTTTCGTCCTATTGTGTGACTCCTCAGCAGTGCGCGCCCACGATTGGATGCCGGCTCAGTGGTCCAGCTGGTCAAGCGTTCGCGCGCGAGACCGAGGTCGTGGATGCGCACTGCTGAGGAGTCACATAATAGGACGAAGCGGCCGTCCATTGCTTCCAGGTTTCCAAAGGTGGTGGTCTAACATCAATCGGTTCATGATCTCAATCAAAAACTTAATAATCTCCACAAACCCTATACTAGTAATCAAAATGTGCTCACTAGTGAATAGCTTCGTGAGGGAATTCTCGGAGTTCTAGTGAGAAGCCGTGACCAGTGGAGCTAATCCATGTCGGGTAGAGACAGGTATCTACCTCAGTGCAACGGAAGTTGGTCGCGCAATTTCGTGGATTGGTTAATGTTAGACACTATCACCATTGGATGCCGGCTCAGTGGTCCAGCTGGTTAAGCGTTCGCGCGAGACCGAAGGCCCTTGGTTCGAATCCCGAGAGCGGGATCATGGGTGCGCACTGCTGAGGAGTCCCACAATAGGACGAAACGGCCTTCCAGTGCTTCCAGGTTTCCAAAGGTGGTGGTCTAACATCAATCGGTTCATCATCTCAATAAAAAACTTAATAATCTCCACAAACCCTATACTAGTTATCACAAGAGCATTAACTTCAAGGTGTCAAGAGGTTCTGGGCCTCAAGAAGCATCATCATAAGGAATGGATCTCTATAGAAACACTGGACAGGATCAACGAAAGGAAGAAAAAGAAGACAGCAATTAACAACAGCCGAACACGAGCAGAGAAATTCCAAGCACAAGCTGAGTACTTAGAAGCAAACAAGCAAGTGAAGAAGAGCATTAGATGTAAGAAATCAGAATGGCCATCAGACAAATCAAGAGAGGGAAAGCAGCAGGACCCGACAATATACCAACTGAAGCACTGAAGTCAGACATCGAAATAATTACAAACATACTTCACCTCCTATTCAGAAAGATTTCGGAGGAGGAACAAGTGCCGATGGACTGCAAATAAGAACACTTCATCAAGATTACAAAGAAAAGAGGTCTGAGCAAATGTGAAAACTACAGAGGCATCACACTACTGTCAGTACCAAGGAAAGTCTTTAACAGAGTGCTGCTGAGCTGGATGAAACACGCAGTAGACGCCAAACTTAGAGATCAACAAGCTAGATTCCGTAAGAATCGGTCATGCACAGACCAAATTGCGACACTACGGATAATCGTCGAACAATCAAATGAGTGGAACTCGTCACTGTACATCAACTTCATTGATTATGAAAAGGCATTCGACAATGTAGATGGGAGGACGTTATGGAAACTTCTTCGATACTACGGAGTTCCTGAGATTGCCAACATTATTCGGAACTCATACGACATGGAATCCTGAAGGGAAGCGGAAAAGAGGAAGGCCAAAGAACACATTACGTCGGAAAATAGAAGCAGATATGAAAAGGATGAATAACAACTGGAAGGAGCTGGGAAGGATTGCCCAGGACAGAGTTGGATGTAGAATGCTGGTGAGGGGCCTATGCTTCTTCACGAGGAGTAACAGGCGTAAGTAAGTAAGTAAGTTCACTATCATTAAGTAGGACCCCAAGAGGTTTCCTTGCAGCATCTTTCTTACGTCCAGTAAGACGTAGACAAATACGCACTCGCATTAGAGCATGATCTGAGTATAAGCATATGCTTCAGAATGAGCGACAATCTTCTATCGAGCCCCTCCATCAGTGGCTGATAGCGATGTGACCTAGTTGGGTCCAACGTTGGGACGAATTCGGGGGTCGCCATGTCAAAAGATGTTTTTCCTTATGCGTAAAGTTGGTGTTTGCAAGAAACAGGCGGTTATCTGAGCATAGCTGCAACAGACGGTCGTCATTATCTGTTCTTTGAGCCGCGACACCATAAGATCCACCCATGTGTCTTTCCTTTCTACTTGGTTTACTTACTTGAGCATTAGTCATCAGCCACTATTAGTACATCCGAGCGCCTAACGTTTTGGAGGTCGGGAAGCTTTCTGTAAAACTCATCTTTTACATCATCTGAGCTGCAGTCAGTGGGAGAGTGGGCAGAGACGACTAAGAGGCAATGACGAGTGTCCCTATTTTTCCGAGTCCGTACTGTTCCGTTTAGTCGGATAGCGCACAAAAGACTGTCTACTGGGATCCAGTCTAAGAGAGCTGGTTCTGCCCTATGACTCAATGCTATACCTACGCCAGCGAGGCCACAGGAAGCAGCATCAGGGCTTCCAGATACACGAAGCGTGAATCGAGATGGTTCTTTACTTTGATATGGTGAGGTCAAGTGAATGACGCTACTCGGATCCTGTGTGCGCGTTTCGGAGACACAGCACACATCTATGGCGCGAGATTCTGAAGTCCTAGCTAAGGAGACCTGTTGTCTTATTTGGCACAGTGAACAGACGTTAAAAGCTCCTACGTGTAGTTTAGAGCGTGGTTTCAGGAGACCAGGAATAACGTTCCGCGTACTCGAATCGTTTGCATTAGCGGTGCGAGGTGATAAAGAGGCGTGAGAAGGGATAGTCGTGGAGATGAGAGATTTATTTGGTGTAGGAGGGATTTGAATGTGACTGACTTGGCCTCGTGTGCTGTTACAGGTATGAGGGCTGATGTCAATTCCCGACTGCCCGCACCGTGGAAGGGTATTTCTTGAGGAACCTGAAAAGGAAGTCGGATTAGTGTTGATCTTAACGACCTGGGGGCGTGACCGCAGAGCCCAAGGGACAACTGATTGAGGCCGGTCACGCACGGGATTTTTTTGGAAAGTTCTTAACGAGTTAGCTCCGTTCTTCAAAGGGCCTTACCGCCAGAAACGGAAATCCGTGAGGTAAGGTGAGGTGTGACATTTTTAGGGTCGACCTTTTCTAACCCCTTCCTTCCTTGTGAGAAGGCAGCATCGCTGCAGATGCTGGCTGTTCGAGGGAAACACCTTATTGCCGTCACACCCCTCTAAAGTCAGCGGTATGACTTTTCCCTCAGACCTTGAGTTGCTGCTTTCAGTTTTACCGTTCTCCAATTGGCCTCCCTGGTATTGTAGAACCTGCAGGAACATATGTTCCAGCCAATATAGCTCGGTTGAGTCATCACGATAGACAAGTCCGACCACCACGTCAAGGTAGCAGCTACGGTCGGGGTAACCCCGTACAGTAATTTATCAATTAGTGTCGTCATCGACGTAGAGCCTGTCACAGATGTGCATTAGCCCAAGTTGTTATACAAATTAGCACAATATGAAATGAACAAGGTGTATAGTAAAATAGATCACAACAATATAGTAACAACGGCAATAAAAAAAGACTAAGTAGAAATGTGTATATGAGGGATTCAAAATCGATAGATAAAGAGCCGACGTATCTGAGACATTGCGAACGACTATGAGCCATATCATAAAAAGTCCCATGCTACTGATCGAAGATATCACGGTTATTGAAAAAACACTAACGAGGTAGTCCGAATCTACCAACGTGACTTAGACCAAGTCAATGATTTCAATGACTTATTCCATAAATTGGTTAGGCCTCCTCAAACTTTCCTCGGATCTAATCCTATAACAACTGAAATCTTCTACTGAGGTCAATTAGCCAGTCTATTGTCAGAGTATTATCATATTTTACTAAGATACCAAATCATTTATTATTATCATTTATTATAACAATCCATTCTAACTAGAGTTAACTTAGCAGCAAAACATTTTATTTGTAGAGATAAACAGGAACCCGACTGATTTGCCGATGTCGCAAGTAACAGCATTGAAAGTAACATTACCAATAGGTGAAATTTCATAATGATAATTATTCTTCTAACAGTAATATGTTGAAACAACCAATTCAAGTGGTATAGCTCATATCTGTAACCATAAACGTATCTAAAAAATAATTTCAACGGTGTACTAACCTCCAGGAAATCAACACGTAGAAAACGCAAGTAAGAGTACGTGAAAGATAAAATTCGTATGAACTTAAGTAAAATGTATTTGAATAACATTGGATGATAAAAATATTTAATATTAAAACTAATACTCATACATCTTTTGCTATTTTTCGAGCATTTTCAACCTCGGCCATTTGTTGTAATCGAAGACGTTCACGTGAGATACGCTCTTCTTCCATTTTCTCTTCCATAAGGAGTCTTGCTTTCTCTTCTTCTTTTAGACGACGTTTTTCTTCAATTTGTTTCAAATTTATCAACTAAAACATAGACAATAAACGAATCATAAAATTACTAACGAGTATTTCTAATTTATTTTCCAAATGTTTGATATTGATAGCCTAATGAGATATTGGTGTTGATGAGCAAAGGAAATGAGGCATATCATGGAACTATATAATTTACTTCAGCTAAAGGCAATAGTTTAATAGAATGAAAACCAGCTATAGTAACTACAAAAATCAATCACAGAGATTATTTTAACAGGAATTTCGATTCCAGATGGAAAGTTTTTGAATAAAATGACTAGTATGAGATGGTCATACTTCCAGTCTCCAACACTCTCAGCATATACATATGATTAAACTTGGAAATTATTATTGGACAAGTTTGTGAAGATAATGAAACCAACTTATACAGTCAGCCTTTTATTACAAAAAACATGTGAGATTACTCTAAAAGTGTATATGCTGATGGATGAATGATTCCTCAGGAAAATAACTACAAAACAACAATTAGCATAAAAATATCCCACGAATCCACTTTTAATACTAATGTCTTTATTTGATGAGCATAAACCAATAGCATTAATTGTCAAATAATGTATCTTACAATGTAAAACTTTAGGTTCAACAATGTTCAAAACACCCTGAAATAATGTATTAACAGTTTGCTAGTTCATAAAAACCAACAAAGTTCAGATTGCACACTTTGTTTTAACAGACTTGTCATCACTAAAACACAGATCAATATTTATGACATAACAATGAGCTTTTTGACGTAATAACTTTGAAGATAAATTTTTGGAGCCTAAGATGGTGCTTGCTAGAGCACAGGCAGATCCAAATAATAGATTTAAAATAAAGGAATGTATGCTCAACATTTTATTTGTCTAACAAATTCGGATTAAATTTATGATAGTATCTGGGCTTCAGTAAAAATCCCCATAAGCCAAGAGTGGAGGATTATGTCGGATGTTTGCTTATTAATTAATTTTCCTTTAGTTAGTTGTAAATTTTTGACTTAGTATGTAAAATATTAGCATAACATCAATCGAAAAATTTTCATGTGACAGTAATTAAATACAAAAACAATAAAATAGTAGAAAGTATGTTCCAAAACTCACCTGTACATACCACAAATGTACTATGATATACATTTTTTCCTAAGCTAAATGATGATGACTTAATGATCCACTGTACTCATCATTACCTTTTCAATCCACTATAATTTACTATTCACAAGAACTCTTCATATTGACTTATCAAATAGCAGGTGCAAACTGACTGTACATTTTTTTATGATGTACTACAATTATTCCTTTGCTTATAATCATATTAGGTTTCACAAACAACTAAAATGAGTTGTACTTAAAATAAATAAAACCGTAGACAGCGAATGGATTCGTAACTAAATTATAGAATGATAATCTGTTGGAAGACCCAGTTACTAACTCCGCCTGAAGACCCTCCAGGGGCTACTGCCGGTCCCAAGCCCGGATAAAGGAGGAGGGTTGGGCATGGGGTTAGCGTCCCCATCCCGTAGGAAACTAACTCGCTAAAAGACGCTAACCAGAAAAAATTATTCAAACTTTTTAAACTCTGCCCCGGGAGTCAGAAGGTCTTCATTTAGAAGAATTATGACGCCTCATGATGAAAGCCGAATTCCTTCGGAAGTTAAGAGGCCGATGCCCCTTCTGACAACCAGAGCGACCATTTATTTAGGTACATGGAATGTTCGTTTATTATTATTATTTATTTAGACCCAGTTACTAATTAGCATCCAGATAACCGCATAAACACCATGCACAAAACTGATAGTCTTGAAATAGAAACATTTATAAGCCTTAAAGGTAAAGGCGTAGAGTTTTAAAGATAGTCTTTACGATCATCTAAGACGAAAGTATACTTAACACTCATAAAAGACTAAACAGACATACAAAAGTTATGGACTGTTGAATTGGCTATCGCTAAATACATAGCAGGAAGGATTTCTGGTACGTTAACATTCAGTCAGTCAGAAACAAGATCATTGACTATAAAAAATGATTTGGAAGTTTTATATTTATCTACTGTTGTGCGACAGTTAGCTCCCGATCTGGATGGTATAAGTAAGAAACTCCAGAAAATCTTACTTCCATACTTAGTTTGAAATTTTTTATTAATGAATAGTATTATATTTCGACTTAAGCTTTCTCTAATAATAATGTATGTATTCCCAAAAAGGTTTTGTGATTGGTAATTCATGACTTTATTTTAAGTGCGACGCTTCCCATTTAACCTTATTTTTCAACGATTCCCAAGAGCTTGTTAACCCAGTAGTCCATTCATTAGTCAGAAACCTATTTTTTTCTAAAAATGTAAATAAAAATATACCCCGTTTATAATGCTAAATACATTAATGCGCTTTTACCTGTTTTGAATTACTTCTGTTCACCTAGTTTTGAAAAATACTGGTGAGGAGAATGAGATAACCAAGTTGCGAGTACAATTATTTAGAAACTATGAGAGGAGAATAGTAATTTTGAAGATTATTTCGTTTCAGCCATAACAAATTCAGTGGTTATGATTCACCGAAATTCATAACTTTGTTAACAAGACTCTCGGGCATAAATCCAAGCTGTTTACCACACATTTTATGATAAACATTATTGATGATATAAAACATTATTTAAAATCTATATTAATAGTATCTGACGTCATGTTTGAGTAAATAAACTTAGATGATCAATGAAAACAAATGGTTAGTGGTTGTAACTAGCTTTTGATTTTTCAGGGATTACTGAAAGGTTGTGTTTTGTGAGTTCGACTAGATTCCGGGTGTATGCGGTGCTTGCAAGACACAAACAGCAAAACCAAAACCAAAAAACGAATCGTTCATCGGAGAACAATCAGACGGAAAGAACAAAATTAAAGACCAAAAGATTGCTAATGTTTGATCACTGATATCATTACATTGATGTGATAGTACTACTGCTAGATATGGAGCGTAACACAAATAGATATACAATCTTGTAGAAATTTAGAAGTTAAATGGTCCTTTAGCGATTAAACATTCTGTTTACAACCAGTAGGTCATAAGTTTAAACCGTGCTTTAACTACTTCGGTCTAGCTGAGTAGTATTACAAACATTCATACAAACACACTTCAAGTATAACTTATTTTTTCTAATATTTTATCTGGATTTAAGTAAGTTTTGAAAATTCCTTTTTCACCAGTCTTTTAAAATATCTACAGAAAGCTTACATTATGATGACAATTATTACGGACAGAGGTAAAGAACTTAATATATCTAATTTACAACTTACTCTAGTTTCGTGAGCAAGTCGCGCACGTTCAGCGGATTCCAAGGAATCTGTATACAGTTGTTGAGTAAAACCTCGAACACGATTAAAACCAACCTTCCAGGGTTGGTTAGGAGTATCTATTTTTCTAGATGATGCATGGAAATTGTTGGTAACAGTTGAATCAGGCAAAAAGAAGCCTGACGACATAAAATGACTAGCCGAAGGATGTGATGCCAATGCGCTGTTAGATGGATTGCTATTTCAAACAAAATTTTAAAATAGAAATAGACGTGCTTGTGTAATACTGAAAAGATAAAACAGGAAGTTGTTTTGAAGCACAGTAAAATCATAGTGTGAATGGAGGATAACATTGTGAATATATTACTTTTCGGAAATACCTTGTATGTATTTGAGAAAAGTTCATTCTTCCAATATCCAGCTAATACAAGCAAACATATTTTAAAAGACTCACTTCGATATACTTAATCCATGAAATGCATTTGAGTTGCCACAGTGTCCCCAGTTATTTGAAGAAAGTCCTGACTGAATTTTATCGAATTCGCACCCCTTTTGCAGTTCCTGAAGATTTTTGCCTCGCATAATTTGTTGCTCTTTCAGTTGTTCATCTAATGCAGCCTTCCACTGCCGACGATTTTCTTCCTAAAACATAAGTTGACTTCTCAAATAAAATATGAAAATATATCCTAAAGACTGGAAACTATTTTATTTGCTTTTGAAAGTCCTTAAACGGCTCCACTAATTACATCAAATTCTCTTTTAAATACATTTTTTAATATATGTTCAACCTTGAGCTGAAATCGATTAGGGCATTTCGTTGTGATTTTTTCTCATGCAGTAAGGCACAAACAAACACCGCAAGAAAACATAACTGAAGTTTAAACATGTGCTTGGAAAAAATGACAGTTTTCAATCAGCCCTCGAAAGTGGTGGATGGAAATTTTACCTTTGTACCCACAGTTGGTTTGATAACAGAGAACCAGACAGTGCAGCTTTCTACATCTACCGTCGGGACTTGCAGGAAACAAACGGTTAAACGAGCGTATTGAAAACAGTGTTAGAATCCCAAAATCTCCATTTCTTGCTGGTAATCTATCTGTCTGTGTTATAACTCGTTCCTGTCTGATGAAAAATGTGATGCTAACACGATCAGAAGCGCAGAAAAGCGTCAGAGTATGAGGAAAAAGATGTGAAATTCTATGTGACAATCCATGAAATTTGTGTACTGCTGTGAAACTAGTGAGGGAAAGTGTATTTTTATGACTAACTCATTCAAACTCAATCAACAGGTTACAGGTTCAAGTCGCAAGTCGTATACTTCGAGTCGAGCGTATAGGTATTATTACCCTTCGAAACATGAATATCTCAAAGTCAAGTACGTGAATCTATACTGGATAAATCAGTCACAGGTGAGGTTTATGAAACGGTATAAATTGGTATTTCATAACATAAAGCTTAAAGGTAAGCCAGTAAGCTAACAATAAACACACATGAAAACAATGTTACCTCCTAGGTATAGATCAGTGAAAAATAATACCTACAGAGTGATAGCAAATAAAATACATTTTTACACAGTCTTAAGTAATCTATGAAAAAAAGATTACATACTTGCTTTGACAAATGAGCGTCTTGTCCAGAACCAAAAGCCATAGGAGTAAGAGCAGGAATATTATCTATCCGATTGTCGTTAATTGTGTTCGAATTAGACAGTTTTTCTGTGGGCTCGGGATTAGATTTACCGGTTGGGAAATCGACTTTGGTATCTGAAAGAACATTTGAAGCTTCTAGTTTCCGAAAATTAGGTGTGTCCAAGCAACCAGGTTGTTTATCCCATATTTCGTGAGTGATTTGAGTTGACAAGTTAGCTATGAATAAAACAGTATGATTAAACACTAATCTGATACATATTTGGGACCTTATTATCGATAAACACTACTTACCTTCATCTTCACTCCACTGTTTGTTTTTTTCTGAGGCTGACATGTCGTATTGGCTTAGTTTGCTGTTTGGATCGGGCATCTTCGAATCTAAAGGACTTTTAGGAGCATTCTGGGAGATGCAAACCAAGCTCTTGAAATGAGGAAAAAGTATTTACATACCTGCTGTGCTGTATCCTGTGACACTAGAAAATAGTGAAGGAGGGAGCATAATCTTACCATTGGATCCAAGCTTTGATTTAGCGTCTAGATATACTGAAGTGAGAACTTTTACCAAGGATGATTCCGGAAGCTTATCACGGTTCAAGTCGATGACATCCTTTAAGATGGAATCTATAATGGCTTCATTATCTGAGGGCTTTGACTTTAACGCCAACTAAGTACAAGAACTGTTTTAGTCAAAGTTTTGTCTTACTGATCCCAAGGCAGTCCCATTTTCATGTATTCCCTGTCTAATTCCATTTTGGCCTAACCATGACACTCAAACATATACACCACATACGTGAGAAATATCCTTGAATGTCCTTCAGTTGTTTCTGAGATATGGTCGAAATAACGTTTGACGTTTTTGACTTCTTCATTTATTATACGAATATTTGCAGTTTAGTGTTGGGGATATTTTAAGTTTATATGGAAATTCCCCTTTATTTTCACGGTTATTTCATATATTGTGAGGGAATCTACGAAGCCAGCAAAGAACACGTCACTTCAAACGACAGCTATTATTGTCGTTACAAAAATCATTGAATATACATGTCACTATAGCTTTTACAGGAGGCGTTGGATACGACGAAGGTCAGTAGTGTAACGCAAAATTATTCACTCGTCAGGCATCCCATTTTTCTTGAAAGATAGTATGTCGATTATCCGTGTTCAACCTTTATTTAAAGTAGATTTCCTTGTAAATTCAGTGCTTCCCAGAGTTAACCAATCGGAATATATATCCCATTTCACCAGGTTCATCAAATCAGAAATTAGATTGAGTTTCGGTTTGGAGAGAACAGGAAGCTAAGTGGCCTGTGTTAGTCTTGGCAGTGATGATCTCTTAGTTGACCCAACGTTCTATCGAAAGAATTGACAGATGGAGCTCCAACCACGTGTTGAGGCATTGAATTCCACTGACAAGTAATTTGTTCTGGGCTTGTCAACTTTTTTGGAGTGTCTTCGCAAATTTCCTGTTTTAGAAGACAAGGAAAATGGGAGAATACCAGTTTCAAATGTATCATAAAGTAATTTGAAAACTGTAATCAAGTCGCCCTTAGTTCTTTGGTATGATAGTGGGGATAGGTGTAACGATAAATAAATCCCCAAAATCAGTAAGTCACTAAATCTTCAATATTCTATGCTGATCACATTAGTTTTAATGGACTCACCTAGCTGAAGGCGTTTAGTCACACATCCGCATCAGATGATGAGTGGGAACGCCGTGCTTAACTTCTCCTGCAGCCGCTAGCCAGTTTAGATCGGTCACTTCTCGATATATTGATAACCTACTAAATATAGCTTCGAACCTCCTAGCTTATGACTTTTAATGTGGCTGGGTGGGCATGATTCAATTATAGGAGGTGTTAATGGTCAGTGTGCTGTCAAACTACAAATACTTGTGGCATTTTCACAGGTTTAGTTTGGCTAGTCGAGTATCATACAGGAGCTTCCCTATTCCGGGAATCATCGTGGTTACTGTTCTCTGAACCTTAACCAAAAGCTCACTGTCTTTTGTTAAGCAGAGGCTGTCCGCCTGTATGCAGTACTCGGGTTTAGTTCGCACGAATATTACGTACAAAGTCAAGGGAGTTTTTGCGTTGACATGACCAAAGGCCATATGTATTAACCACAGGGTTCTCAAACCTTCGAAGGCTGTTGCACGGCAGTGTGCAATGGTTTTTAGGTCTTAGCTGACGATGACTCCAAAGTCTTTACGGGCCTGGATAATAGATAGCTAAATGTTATTCATCGTGTATGCATCCGTACACTGATGACCAATATGCATCACAATACACTTGGAAGTACTCTCCGGCGAATGCCAAGTCTGAGACCACTTAGATAATTTCTACTGGTCATCTTGAAGTTCTACGCCTTCATCTTTGCTTCATATAGCTCTGTTTCTTCACATCGTCAGCAAATAGCAAGACTGATGATGCTAGGAGACAAGCGAGGTCATTGACACACAAGAGGAATAACACTGACTCACAAACTATAACTTAAGGCGCTCCGACAAGCACAATTTTCCAGCTAAACAACTTAGAGTTCATCCGTACTCTTTGTCGACGCCTAACTAGGAAGTCTATTATCCACATTAGTAGACTGCCTCCAACTCTGACCTTTCTTAACTTACATAGCATTCAGCTGTGTGGAACATTGTCAAAATCTTTGCTGAAGTCAATGTAGGCTACGTCTATAGGTAAATTTTAAATTTTTAGGGGCGCATCAACTATCACGTGCTACCAATAATTTAGTGAGATACGTGATATCTGATTCTAAGTCCAAACTGCTTTTCGAAAGAATCCAATTTTCAATAAAATACGTAAAAAGCTCCTTCCTAATAATTTCTCAAAAATTTTAACAGCCACGTTGGTCATCTGACGGGTCATTAGTCCTCAGGTTTATGTTTCGTACCTGTTTTGAGGACAGGAATTACTAAGGCGTTCTTTCATTCTCTTGGTAGTCGACCCGAGGTTACGAATAAATTAAAAATTAGCTAATTCCTTTAGTAACCTAGGATGCATCTAATTGGGTTCCATGGATTTGCCTACATCATGATTATTCAGCAGATCAAAGATATTGTGTTCACTAATAGTCACATTAACCAGTGTATTTGCGTTAGGATTTGTACAAACCGACGGGAAGGATGTCTCTACGGTACAGACATTGCTAAAGTAGTTTGAGCTTTACCATAGTCTCCCTCCACTAATGATGAAGCATTACTGTCTCCCCATAGTGCTTGTTACGGAAGAAGTGAAGACATGTAACTGATGAAAAACTGTTATACTGAATATTATTAATTTCATTGTTTTTGGGTGCATTCAGTTTACTCAACTTCTGAACTTGTTTATCCATATCTTTATCTTTGGACATTTTGATTACTCTTTGACTTGGGTTTGGTATTTGGACGTTTATGCTCCAGGAACCTAAAAAATTGAAGTTTTGTTTCGCAACTGGTATGATTGTTATTAGAACGATATTTGGGTCGATTATACGTGATTTGCGAATAAACGTTGGTTCCTGAAATGGTGAAAACCTTGGACCTATTGTCCAATTTACTGACGATGCTGAGTGTATAATATCTTCTGCATTTGCTTTCCATGACTTAGGTCTAGGTTGGGCTCATTTTTGACAACTATATGAAAGTCCAAGATTGGAACTGCAAGATCACTCTTACCTAGGGGTGGCATGTAATCGAATTTCATGATGCTACCCTCCTAATGGGTCAATATAAGATCTGGTAAGGATGATTCAGAGTCCGAGTCGTATCTAGTGGCTTATTTCACATGTTGTACTAAGGTGCATGTGATAAGCCGATTAACTAGTTCCTGCTCGAAATAGTTTTCCGACAATCCAGGTTTTTCCAGTATGCCGTGAATCAATTGAAGTCTCCTAGGATTAGACACTGACCACTTTGGGACCAAGTGTTGAAACCATCTTTCAAGACCTCATTTACATCACAACTTGGAACGCAGTAGACCAAACTAATCAGCAACTCTTGTCCCTTACATTTCAAGCGGCAACTAACTAATTCAAGCGTCCCACTCTCGTGGGATACACTATCAATAATGGCAAGTGCGATAGTATTTCTAATTAATAAAGCTACCCCCCACCTTTATGCTTCTGGATTCTGTCCGCTCTTACTAGTGTGAAACCTTCAAAATGAAGTATTATACTGTCTATAGGCTGTGTCCACCAAGATTCTGAGACTGCGATTACATCTGGCTTGGTAGAGTTAATCTGTACACCAAGTTCCGATCGCGTAATGGACAAGCTTCGAGCATTTGTGAAAAAGATCCGAAGCCTATTTAAATGACTTCGTGCTGTACCCATGGTGGCTTCGTGGTCATTTTCTGTCGACGTCTCCTAACCTGAAAATTTACAATTTTTATAACCCTTTCAAAAGCACCCTATCTAAGTTTTAGTTCATTTTCAGATTCTCGTCCTTTTACATGGTCTTAGAGTAGCATGTCCTTAAGGACAAAAAACTCCTAAACCCTTTAGTTTATGTCCATTCTGTAACACTAAGTCCCGTTCATTAGGAGATTTAAATACTAATTTGAGCAGCCTGGTTTGATTTTGTTTAAAGTTTGTTTGACTGCCTAGATTATACACCTTTAGCAAGGTGACTCCGGAGATATCCTGGGGCATAAGCTGATTTAGTAACTGTTTTATTAACCAGATGTCATGCTCAAACGAGTTTTAGGTTCTGAGCTTTCACTTTCCTTGAGTCTAAAATAAATAAATGATCTGACGTAATTATCAGTTTGAGCCTTAAATACGCGAAACCGGAGACCTGTGTCCTGTTATGCTACTGTATAAGTGCGTTCTTCCTTCTGAGTTTTTGAAAGATCTATACATGAGTTTTATATGTAGTTAGTTCCAGGAAGAGATTAACTTGAACTAATATCAAACTAACTCAAGTGATTTATTGAGGGGCTCAGCTACACGAACGGTTGAATGGAACTTCACTACTGCAGAAAACTCATGGCAGTCAGCCTGTTCAAGACTACTTCATGATACTACTTTCAATATAACTTAATCTGTACCTGTGATAACAGTCATAGAGATATATGTATACAAATTATCTTGATTTCTTCGATCGTTGGTGGAGTGACCGCTGCGGGAAGGTCTGTGTGTGCTGCTTCGATACCCGTTGGATTCAATTTAGCTAGCCGTTTCAATAGCTGAGCAAAGTGTCCAACCAATCCGTTCATTTTTTCTTGAATTTCAGTGGTTGTCGTGCCTTTTTTCTCTTGGCTGGTCGCTCTAGTTTACTATCTTTCCCTGCTAGTATCTTCAGTGTGTCACATAGTTGCCTCATGTTTCCTTCTCTTGCAGCCTTTTCCGCTGTCATTGCTAGTTTTTCCAAATATTTCTGCTTGTTGGTTTCAATGCTCTTCTTCAATTTCTTGTTTGCTTCTGTGTATTTAGCTTGTGCCTTGAATTTTCCTGCTCTTGTTCGGCTATTATTAATTGCTGTCTTCGTTTCTTGAATCCTGTCCAGGGTTTCGATATCGATCCATTCCTTGTGATGGTGCTTCTTATGGCCTAGAACCTTTTAACACATTGAAGTTAATGTTTCTTTGGTTTCTTTCCAGCTATCCTCTATAGTACTTTCTTCTCTCAGTAGATCCTGTAAGTCTTAGAACCTAATGTTGAGAGTTATCTTGAGTTTATTGAGTTTGTCAGTATGTCGAAGGCCGTATTGAACCTTTGTAGTGCTGTTCTTCCATTTGTCCAGTGTTTTCTTAGCTTTATTTTAATCCTGGTAACCACTGCAAGATTCAAACTAAGGTTTGGACTGAAGAATAGCTGTCTAGGTGGGTTAGATACGCGCCCATGCCCGGTTGAAATGAAAACAAAGTAATTGGGTAAAATAACGGTTCTAAAATTCATCATAAATTTAAATGTACATTGTTACCCAAACAAATATGACTACCCAGCTACTCAACCAATAATTGTTCAACTAATCAAGTCAATCGAAACAAATAAATGCTATTCTGTCCTGTCTGGATAGACCACTCACAGATTCGTTCAAAAGATAATATTTGGTTGCTTTATTACACAGAGTGTTTCCAGTTTTGGAAGAGTGCCTCAATTAACAATCAAAAATGCACAATT